CAAGAGCATAATAGTAATGAGGTTTAGATCATAAGCCTGGATAATATTTGTATGATGGATGGATCATGGACCACCACTGCTCAGTTTAGTAGATGCGGTTGGGTGTGGATGGATAATCTTGGGAAGCGTTAGCTAATGGGTATACGAAACTTAAGAAGGACAGACACTGCATTGCACTCGGAACTAGAAGCCCTGTGATGGAAATGGAGAACATGCTTCACCATTCGTCATGTCAGCGCTTTGGAACAAACTGCAAGGACCTGGTCATGATGATAGAGGATCCTGGAGCATGGCCGAGTTTTGCAACAGAATTAGAAGCAATAAAGACACTGCTCATATGCTTTCCAGGTTTTGAGTTACATCATATCCTTCGAGCTCAAAACGAAATTTCGGACTTTTTAACTAAGAATGCGTCATCTTTTCATAGAGAGCCTTGTTTTGTTGGTTATTCTATTCCGGTCTGGTTACCTAGACCTCCTCAAGCTGAGTAATAGAATACACGTTTGCTGTAAAAAAAAGAAGAAGGAAAAAAACAACTCATAACTTAATAATGAAAACAATTTAAGGAATATTTGTGTTACTTAACAATTTTAATATTTTCCCCAAATTAAATGTTTCAAATTATCAGCTTAACTGATTTTCTATATTGATGATATTGTTGTATCTATTGTCGCGGAGATTATAGATTTATAATTGACATGTATTCTGGAAACTCAAAAAAATCTATACATAGAATAGTCATTATTTTTCTTTGATTTTTTTCATGAGAATATAAGGCATAAAGTGGGGGATTTCCCAAATATGACTCAAAACTTTATTTTGAATGCAAAAGTGTACTCAAACTCTAATCAAATGCAAAAGTAACTCAAAAGACTAGTAAAATTACCAATATCCCCTCATGACCAGTCAAAGAAAACAAGATTGTAGTTTACCATTATAACTTTGCCAGTGAAAGTCTTCTCATGTTGTAGATATTAAAAATAATTTATAAATTTTTTTTTAAAAAAGATTTTGATTAGTAAAAAATCATAATCACGTAATTATTGACATTTACAAATGATGTATTAGATTTAAAAAAAAACTGAATAGTTTTCAAGGTAGATGAATGAATGTAAGTTAGTCATGGTATTCTTTGGTTTAGAGTTTGGTAACTATGTTCTAGTATTGTTTAGGGTTAGGTTGTGGAATCTTAACATTTTTTTAAAAAAAAGTAAATTTTACCTATATGTGTTTAGTTGTATATTAAAAACTTTAGAAGTTTAATTTAACTTTAATAAATTTTTTTGTATGTGATTTAGTTATATATTTGATTATAGGGTTTTGGAAGACTTAATGTTTCGAAGATATAATGTACTAGAAGACTTCTGGTAAGTCTTCTCGGCCTTTAGTAAGTTTAGGGTTTTAAGAAGACTTCCCTAGATACTATTGTAAGACTTAAGAAGACCTTGAATGACCTTGAATGTATTACTCATGATATTCTTTGGTTTAGGGTTTGATAACTATGTTGTAGTATTGTAAGTGTTTTTAGGGTTAGACTGTGAAATATTAACTTTTTTATTATAATAAACGAAATTTTACCTATATGTGTTTAGTTTTGTGTAGATTAAACACTTTATAAGTTTAATTTAGGTTTGATAATGTTTTTATGTGATTTAGTTATATATATTTGACCAATTTGATTTTGGAGTTTTGGAAGAGTTAATTTTCAAAGATATAATGCAATAGGTTTAGGTTCCCTGCTTGAAATTTAGGTTTCCCGCTTAAAATTCTAAAAATATTTAGGTTTCCCACTTAAAATTAAGTTTTTCAATAAATCTTAAGAAGACCTCAGTAGACTTAAGAAGACTTTAGAAAACTGTCTGGAAGACCTTTGAAGACTTAGTTAAAGTCTTCCAGTAAATCTTCCGGAGTTAAAACTTTTGAAAAACCTTCGAAGACTTCGGAAGACCTACTTAAAGTTTTTCAATATGTCTTCCAAAGTTTTCTTAAGTCTTCCAAAACCTAAGGGGGTGTATTGAACTCATAATTTTAGAATGGTTTGGATTTTCTTTAAAAGCCTATGTTATTCAACTAGTGATTTCTAAATTCTTGTTCAAATCCCATGTTATTAAATACATAATTTATGTATAATTATTAAAAATCACTTGAAATCTTATGTTATTCAAACAGTAGTTTGTAAAACCTAAATCAAATCTACTTTTATTCAATACAAATAATTTTTTCAAGAGTTTGTTAAGAAAAAAGATTTCAGAAGACTTTTCACCAATTCTTCTACATAAAATAGGCATAGTGAAATCTCACCTCCACATATGTTATTTACAGGGTCAGCCCAAACCTTAATAAGGTGCCACTCAAAATAAAATTTTGGACCCTAAGATAAAATTTTTTAAAACATTTTGGGCATTTTTCTCAAGCGGAAAAAGCTCAAAAACATTTTAGGCCCTAATCAGTTGGTTATTATGCTTGTCCATGGACCGGCCCTGGTTATTTGATGAGATTATTAAAAAGTAAACTTTTACATTTAGGAAAACTGCAAATGATATCAACTAGATTTTTGACCCGCGCTTAAAAAGTAAAGCGCGGATGCCATTTTTGTTGTTTATCTGCAAATAGATTGATAAGTTTTTTCTTTTATGATATAAAATGTCACAGGATCAAGATCAAGATAATATGCGGGTATAAGAAATTTTTATTTTATAATGTCTCAGACAATTTTTTAATGTTTCGAAATAAGTTAACAATGGTTGTACCTGAAATGTGTACTTGAGAAAGATTGTATATTTAACAATTAAATAGTCTAATTTCTTTTAATTTTGTGATTAATTCGTAAAATCATTTAGTTATAAAATTTCAATCGTTCAGTCCGACCCGTCCCGTCCAACCCGGGTTGAGTCATTTTTTTTACTGAAAAATTTGACCAGTCTGACCCGCAAAGAAAATATATTTTTGCAAGAATTTCTTTTATAAAATTTGAAAGAAAATCAACCAATTAATGAAACCCATTAGTATATAGTTTTTAGGTCCAAATAAAAAAAACAAAAATATCATTAATGAAAAATTAAATTTATTCATGAAATTAAACGTAATTTTGAAAATCATAAATTATTCATTAAAATGAATGATCTTGTTTTAATGGTATTGATTGTTATCATTTCCACATTCTCCTTCGGTCCTTCTGTAGGTCGTCAAACTATGAGCTTCAGTCGAGTTGTAGCTTGTTTTGTTGAGATAGTAGATAGAGAGATTCCTTCTCCTGAGTTGATTTTTTTTTCCAGGCGATGGATAATTGTTTACTCCTGGGGAAGAAGAATGTCGGGCCGTAACGGCACGGGTAGGGAGACGGACGGGCTTGTTCCAGCTCAAGTCAAGTTTGAGTCCCCAGATCGATAGGCCGTTTGAATGGTTGGTATTGCTGCTGGTGCTTATCGGCTATCGCATTCTTGCTGTCTCAGGTGGTTTATTCTCTTCGTATGTCTCAGTTTCGCTGTTTCTTTTAGCATGTGCTGCTGATTTTGATTGATTAAGTATGGTTTGAGTAGTATATGATATGAACATAAGCTTGTTCGTATTAGCATTTGACCAAAAGAATGATCTGAGAAATTGGTGACTGTGAACGATGATCAAGACGTTTTTGTGTGATAAAGTATGGTTTGAGATGTATATGATACGAACGTAAGCTCCTTCGTGTGTATATTTGTGCTTTTTATATGATATAATTACTGCTATTTTTGTTGGTTAGCATAATCTGTATATTTCTATTGGAAATTGTTGAGAAATTCAACTTTTATTTTCACAGTAGAAAAGATATCCAAAAAAATAGTACGTTTCTGACTTTTAAGTTGACAAGGTTTTTTTCCGGATAATTGTCCAAAATAACATTTTTGGAAATCTTGGCAAGGTTGTTGTATCATACAACACATAGATTTTGGAAATTTATGATACAACAATTTTAAGTTGACATCTATGTGTTTTATGATACAACAATTTTATGATACAACAATTTTGCCTTTTTCAGATTTTGGAAATTATCCGGAAAAAAACCTTGTCAACTTAAAAGTCAGAAGCGTACTTTCTTTTTGAAAATCTTTTCTACTGTGCAAATAAAAGTTGAATTTATGATACAATTTCCAATGCAAGGTTGACATCTATGTGTTGACAACACATAGACTTTTAAGTTGACATTTCTATTGGCAAGGTTGTTGTATCATACAACACATAGATTTTTCTGACAAGGTTTCTGTCTGATACAACACATAGGTTGTTGTATCATAAAATTCCTCGTGCACATATTTCTTAACCACAAAAAAAATCTGAAGAAGGCAGCTTTGTTATGTTGATTTCAGGAAGAATGTATAATAGTTTTGGAAAGTCGTCCAGAAACTTTAGTAATTCATGATTTTAGGAAGAGGTAATAAGACTTTAGGAAAACCTTCCAGAATATTTGATATTAACAACAACAAAATTAGAGGTACATCAAACACAATGAACTCACTCTTAACACTGATAAAACTGGTGATAAGAAGCTTCGTGAAGCTTAGAGGCACATCAAACACAATGGTATCAAACGTTTTCCCTACCTCTGTGTGTAGATATCACCATATGTATACTCACTTATTAGATATGTGCACTCACTTACTTGGAAGGCATTTGACAATTTCTAGATGGGCTTCCAAAAATAATTATGAAATTTGGAAAGCATTTAGCGTGTTAGCATTCCTATGTGTTGTATCACAAAATTCTTCATGCACATATTTCTTAACCACAAAAAAAATCTGAAGAAGACATCTTTGTTATGTTGCTTTCACGAAGAATGTATAATAGTTTTGGAAATCCCTCCAGAAACTTTGGAAATTCATGATTTTAGGAAGCGGTAGTAAGCCTTTAGGAAAGTCTTCCAGAATATCTGGTATTAACAACAACAAAATTACTCTTTACTCTTTTGCTTGATTGTTCAAGATAACAATAGAAATGAAAATTTGTTATAAATAGTTCATTTATGTCTATAAACCGCTCAAGCAGCTCTTGGTCTTTCTGAACCAAGCAATCCTTAGATTTTCCAAACCATTATAATGATGGTTAGCCACGTAGTAATACACCACGTGTAGTCTCTCAGAGGAGTTGGAACAATGGAGAATGCGTTCAATGCAGAGTAAGGCAGAGACAAGTATGATAACACTATAAGTGCAGCTGCATAGTCAAAAAATATACAATCAGAAGATTAATACACAAAAGATTTGAAAGAGAAAACACTTCAATCATGGAATTCCAAATATTGCAGGAAAACTCATTGACATAAGCAGTCACTACGCAAGCAAATGACAAGAACTCAAGATTTCAACACCACAAGACATAACCAGTCATTACGCAACCATCTGACATAAGTAGAGAATATTTCAGTTGATTCATTCATTTAAGCAACAACTAAGCTTATCACTAAGGCGACTAAATCCATCTACCACAACTAATCAGCCGAGACTAAGAGTTCTCCCTTTAGTCTTTTTAAAGATCTTCAGAGAATAAAAAAAAATTTCCCTTTGTACATTAAACATTCGTCTACACTTAAACATACCATCCTCAATATACCTTTGATCAAAGTAAACCTCCTTAGCAGTTGTACCCACTATCTGATATTCCTCAGAGTGAGTTCATCTCTGCAAAGTTCAAGTGCTCACGCAAGAAGCACAACTTACTACACTGATTCTAGTGGCAATGACCACACCACAGATCTATATCTTGATCGCAAAAATCTTTTTTCAGTCTTCCTCATCATCATTACCAAATACCTTTAAACCAAAATCACAAAATTTCATCAAAATGGATCATAGCATAAATGTTTCATCAAACTGAAAATTGAAAAGTAAATATACCATATACCTCTAATTTGACGAAATACGAAATCTATATAAGATAAATGTCAATCAAAATAAAAAAGCCATGGATCGATGATACCTTTTCAAAACAGAGACGGCGGCACAGCAGCAGAGTTGAGGGAGAGAGACGTGATGAGTGACTGTGAGATGATGACAGCGAGAAATGAGAGATGCCAGAGATTGACCAGATGATTGACGCCGGAGATGTGAGAAGTCGTCCAGCGGAGATGTGAGAAGCCGTCGACGTCGTGATTTAAATTTTTTAAAGATTATTAATTAGACAAAGATAGGGATACTATGGTAAATGGTCATATTAATGAAACCTATTTTGGTGACTTTGGGCCTTGGATGCTAGTTTGGGGACAAAAACTTGAGTTTGTGCTATTTTGGGCTTTTATTCTTTTTTCCCTTTCTATTTGTTTTTTGATATTTTTAAAAATCTGAAATTTGTGGATTGAAAGCTGATGTAGAGCTTCTAAAATTCCCCAAAACACTGATCTTTTTAAAATTCCAAACAAAATCACCGAGCTATCTCTTAAACTCACCTTAAATCCCAATAATTGTAAAATCTACTAAAACATTCTACAATCACTCAATACACCCCCTAATATTTCCCATTCAAATTTTAGTGAAATTTTAGATTTACTGACATTTTGTTTTTTTGACATCGAAGAAAAGCTTAAAAACTACTCTACAGGCGTTAGACTAGCTTTGGGGGCTAGCCATATGGGCGCAAAGACATCAACATAGGGGTTTGATACTCGTACTCGTCCACCTTTAGCAAGGCCATCGGCACAGACATTCAAAGATCTTGCAACATATGATATTGAGAAGGTAATGCATTCAAGAGATAGAGCTTTTATTCCGTTTAGTTCTGGTGCTAGCGTGGGCCACTCCTTCTATGTTCCACTAAGTTTTACAAGTTGTTCACAGTCAGTCTGAAAGTGATTCTCCCGTCTCCCCTTCTTGATCAGCTCCTGCATCGCCCAGATTAGCCCCTCTGCCTCCGCGTGAATGGATGAAGCCGATGTTGTAGGTCCTTTAGAGCCGTACAAAATGGGGAACACTGCATCAAACATAAAAATCCCAGACCTGTCGCTTCCTTGTCACTTATCCAGGAAGCCTCTACCTTACATCTTCATGTCGCTGGAGTGATTTTTTGTCGCGCTTGATTCATTGTTACTGCTTGGTCCTCCCTTTTGATTGGAAAAATTTATGTTGCACACTGAGTAACCTTCCAGCTTTAAGCTTCCTTTAAGGCTATTTGAATTGATTCCATCGGTGTTATATCCTTATATTTGAAGATCTTTTTCTTCCTTGCCTTCCATATGTACTACATGATCCATGGGAATGCATCTATACTTTGTGACATTGCTCCTTTGCCTTTGGCTCTAAACATCAAGTAATCAAAGTTTGCATATAGTGAACTACTCGGGAATACCCCCGGAGGTGTCGGGATAGAAGATAAATCCCAGCATTGCAGGGCTGGGGGACACTCGAAGAGAGTGTGATTAATCAACTCTATCTCTGCTCCACACCGTACACAAGTACTCTCTCTCATGCAATGCCTTAATTTCAGTTGCTCTGCTGTCGCGATAAATCCCGATAATGCTTGCCACAAAAAGTGTTTGAGCTTCCTTGGTGCCTTTAGTTTCCATGTTGCTTTCTTGATCCATGTAGTGCTTGGTTCTAACACTGCTGGGTGCGTCTCTCTGGTCCTCATCGTGTGGGAAAATTCATACCCTGATCTTACCGTATAGAGTCCAGACTTGGTAAAGTCCCAGCTGTGGCAGTCTCTTCGACCAGTCCTACTGATGGGTAATTCTAGTATTCTTGGGATGTCCTCCGTGTTGATAACGGCCTTAGTTAAGTCGACATTCCAAGTCTGTGTTTGATGTCCGATCAAGTGATGAACTCTGAGGTCCATGTGGCATTGGTTCCCATTCCACCGTGGGGATCTCGCTGGGTTACTTGGTAGCCACGGCTCTTCCCAAACCTTAGTGTCATGACTATTTCCCATCATTTTCCGGCGTCTTTGTTGGAGTACAGGTCTTGCTGCCGCGATGCTTCTCCACCCATATGATGGGTTATGTGCATTGCCAGTAGTCATCGGGTTTGAGTGTCGATAGTACCGGCCTTTCATAATTCTTGCTAGGAGAGAATTGGGGAATTTTAATAGACGCCACAGTTGTTTAGCTAGTAGAGCCAGATTAAAGTCTCTGAAATTACGGAAACCCAGTCCGCCACATTCAAGTGGGATACATATCTTGTCCCATGCTACTCAATGAAGGACCCTATTGTCGTGTCCTGTACACCACCAATACCGGGATACTGCGCTAGTAAGATTTTGTGTAATACCTTGTGGGAGGAGGTAGCAAGACATAATGTGTGAGGGGACAGTCTGGGCTATCAACTTAATTTGCACTTCTTTACCACCCTTAGATAGGAGTTTTGCTGACCACGAGTTTGTTATGTTGTTAAGTCTTTCCTAAACAAAACTGAATACTTGTTTCTTGGAGCCACAAATATTTTCCGATAGACCGAGATACATTCCCATTCCACCTTCTTGGCTTATGGCTAGAGACCTTTTCAGGTCATATGTGGACGCTACGACCTTAGAACCGAACATAACTGAAGATTTTTTTATTCAGTTGTTGTCCTAAGGTGTTTCTNGTTGTTAAGTCTTTCCTAAACAAAACTGAATACTTGTTTCTTGGAGCCACAAATATTTTCCGATAGACCGAGATACATTCCCATTCCACCTTCTTGGCTTATGGCTAGAGACCTTTTCAGGTCATATGTGGACGCTACGACCTTAGAACCGAACATAACTGAAGATTTTTTTATTCAGTTGTTGTCCTAAGGTGTTTCTGTAGACGTGAATGAGTCGCATTAGTTCGTAACATTCGTCGGGTTCAGCTGTACAAAAAAAGGCTGTCATCTGCAAATAGAAGGTGTGATACCGAGGGACATGCACGAGAAATCTTTATGCCAGATAACTTCTTCTCAGATTCGGCATGCTTGATCTGAGATATCAGCATCTCTGTGCAGAGGATAAATAAGAAAGGCGATAAAGGGTTGCCTTGTCGCAGTCCTTGAGATGGGACTATATGTCCTTTGGCCTCGCCATTTATGAGAGCCTTGTACAGTACCAACGACACGCAGCACATGATCCAGTGTATCCATCGGTTATCAAAGCCCATTCTATAAGGGTTTCTAGAAAGCTCCATTCCACTCGGTCGTATGCTTTGCTCATGTCCGTCTTTATGGCAACATCTTGCTTTGGCAGCTTGGATTCGTACGGAGAGCATAGAACATCTCCTGTGCGACTAAGTTATTGACCGTGATGAGACATCGAGCCACAAAGGCTGATTGTGATTCTGATATCAAGTCTGGTAGCACATGTATAAGTCGGGAGGATAGAACTTTGGAGATAATTTTGTTGCTGACATTAGATAAGCTGATCGGTCGGAACTCCGTCATGGATTGTGGTCTCTCTGTTTTCGGGATTAAGCATATGTTGGTTTCCTTGAGGCGTTCGTCCATCTCTCCTGTTGCGAAGAAGTCTTTCACTACTCGGATGATATCTTTTCCTATAACTCCCCAGAATTTTTGGTAGAATAAACGTGTCATCCGATCTGGCCCTGGGGCTTTATCTGGGTTTATCGCAAAAATTGCATTCTTTATCTCTTCCTCCGAGGGTTCCCTGGTCAGTAGAGTGTTCATATCATTGGTGACAAACGCGGTAATATACCGGAAAGCTTCGTCGTATTCCCCCTGGAGAAGAGGATGTGAACAAGTTGTGAAAAATACTCGGTTGCCAGATGCTCCAAGCCTTATTCTGTTTCGATCCAATTTCCCATCGAGTCAAGAAGTTTTGTAATACTATTCCGTGCTCTGTGTTGTTTCGTCTTTGCATGGAAGAACTTGGTATATCTGTCTCCTTCTTTAAGCCATAGTCCCCAGCTCTTTTGCTTCCAAAAGAGTTCTTCTTCTCGTTAGGCTTCGCAGAGCTTCCCCTTCAATTCCAGCTCTTCTTCACTTGATATACTATCGTCGTTTTGCACTTGATCAATTCTGAATGTTAGCTCTTTGGTAAGATTTTTATTATTCGATGGGTTACCACGTTTCCAGCGTAAAATAGCTCGACGGCACCTCCCTATCTTCTCGTACATAGGTAAACAAAGGTAGTCAAGCTAAGAGACTTTAAATAAGCTCACTTGGGCGGAATTCCCATGTTTATCTTTGTATATATTGTTTTTCTTTTGTGTTGAATAAGGTCAGGAACAAGTTTGGGGGTCTCCTCAATATTCCCAAAGGTCATGCCCAAACACCAATAGCCACAACACTGCTCATTCCAACTTGAGGTATCACTCCAACAATTCTTTGTACATACCATTTCTTTTATCATATTTTTGGTATCTCCTTCCCTCTTACTCACACAAAGACTGTGATTTAAGTTTGGGGGAGGTACCAAGTATTTGATCATGTTTGCTTTGTTGAATTTGAGTCTCATGCATTGCATTGCACATACATATATGCATAGACAAATCCAAAAATAAAAATAAAAAATTTCTAAAAAGAAACAAAAACAAGCATTTAAGTTGCATCATTTGCATCTTTAGGATTGAGTCTAGAAGCATTTAGATTGCATTCATTCACTGGGAGCTGACCTAATAAGGAAACACATGCTTAGAACTCAAAACTTCACCCTATCTGATCATAGCAAGTAGCTTAAGCATCTCTTGAAAAGCTTGCATGCTTTGAGCCTTGAAAACTGTTCTTGAAACTTGTTGCTTGTGTGAGATTGACATTCTCTTTAACCAACTCCAAATGAACTTAAAGCTGAATGAACTTAATTTTTCTTGCTTATGGGAATTTGCATACTTGTTCATGGATTATACACATTTGGGTTNCTGATCATAGCAAGTAGCTTAAGC